CCTCCTCCTCCTCCGACGAGGTTCAGGGAGGGGAGGCAGCCCAAACTTTTTGTCTACCTCAGCAGCAGAGGCAGCATTAAAATACTATTTATTTTAATACACTTTGATTTGATTTTGAAACTGAGGACAAAGTGATGGCGAGGGCTCCTTGGAAGCGAGCGAAGGCGCCGGTCTCCTTTCCCCGTTTGCTCCTGTCCCTCGGCTGTTGCTGGACGGCCCCCGTCCAGACGTACAACTTGGACACGCAGAGCCCGCGGGTCTTCCCAGGGCCCAATGGGACCCTCTTTGGCTACTCGGTGCTCCTCCACAGCTTTGGCACCAGCTCCTGGTGAGTAAGAAGGAAGGAGGGAGGGAGCGGGCTCTGGCTTCCCCAGGCGACAAGGGGCCTCCTCCTCCTCCTCCTCTTTTTCTTCCTCTTCTTCCAGCTTGGCTGCTAACAGAAGAATAAAGATAATAATAATAATAATAATAACAATAACCCCTCACTCCCTTCTCTCTGGACTCTGGCTGCTCCGCTTTGGGGGCTTGGGACTCATTCACAAACACGGCTGTGAGAGAGAGAGAAAAGTCAAAGGTGGAAACTTTTTCTCTGGCTAGGAAACTGGGCGCTCTCCTTTTGCTGCTGTTGTTGTTAACTGCCCTCGAGTGGATCTCGACTCATTGGCGACCTTATGGATGAGACATCTCCCAGACCCTCTGTCCTCCACTGCTCTGCTTAATTCCTGCAACCCCTTAATAGAGTCCTTTATAGAGTCCATCCATCTAGTGTGTGGCCTTCCTCTCTTTTTACTTCCCTCCACTTCTCCCAACATTGTTGTCTTTTCCAAAGAGTCCTCCCTTCTCATGATCTGTCCGAAGCACAACAGCCTCAGTTTGGTCATCTTGGCTTCCAGGGAGGTTTCCGGCTTGATCTCCTGGTTATCCACTTGTTTGTCCTTTTGGCTGTCCATGGGATCCTCAGCACTTTTCTCCAGCACCACATTCTCTCAAATGCATTGATTTTCTTCCTATCATCTTTCTTAACTGTCCAGCTCTTACATCCATACATAGTAATAGGGAATACAATGGCTTGTATGATTCAGACCTTTGTGCTCAGTTGTATATCTTCTCCAGCCAACTTTTAGTGAGGAACAGGAGTATCCTGACTTCACATCTAAAACAAATAAACAAACAGGATTTTTGTTTGGGTTTTTTTTTTTAGGGGAGAGGAAACAAAGAAAGTTATTTTTTGTGAGTGACCTACTGGATGTAGATTCTACAGTTTAGCAGCCAAAAATGTCTAGAATAGAGTAAGTCTTTATAGTACAAGGGAGTGTGGTAAATTCAGTTAAAACACACACACACATATATGTGTGCTGCCTTGAATCCCATTTTGGGAGAAAGGTGGGATATAAGTCCTATACATTTATATATGCTGTCGCATGCCTTCAAGTAGTTTCCAACATATGGCAACCCTAAGGCCAATTTATCATGGGGTTTTTCTTGGCAAATTTCTTCAGAGGGGGTTTGCCATTGCTTTAATCTGAGGCTGAGATAGTGTGACTTGCCCAGGGTCACCCAGTGGGTTTCCATGGCCAAGCTGGGATTCAAACTCTAGTCTCCAAAGTTATAGTCAAACCACTAAACCATACTTGTTCTATCTTGCTATATAGCCATCTTGAATCCTATTTTGGAAGAAAGGCAGGATATAAATCCCTATCTGTTTTAAATGTAAATAGATAAATATTTCAAACATAAAAATAGTATGTGGAGCACCTTGATCACCTGTTTACAGACCAATATTCATTAAGCCTGGCCTGTGACAATGGTAATCATCCAACGAATTTTAAGCATTGCTGCACAGAACCTAGCAACATTGCCCAAACATGTAAAATAATTGAGTTTTCCAGAACTCTTCTTCAGACTAGGCAATAGAAAAACCGTTTCCTGGTTTTGTCCTAACTAGTTTGATGACAGGTTTGGGAGAATTCATACACACTGTTTTGTGGCATTTGGCTGGCCCTTGTAGACGTTATCAATCTTTGTACAGTAAGTGTACAGTGCAAGAAGTGTACAGTGATTAATCAAAGTGTAAGTGGTGTTCAGTGATCAATCAAAGTGTCATTTCATTAAGGTGCTTATTGGGTTCCCCCATTCAACCACCTCTGCACTAGTCTACACAATATCACAGTCCTTTTTCATGGACAAAAATGACATCTGTGCTGCAATGATCATATGGACTAGTCCTGTCCTACACAAAGGAGTGGTCCCTGGACTAGTGCCATTGGCTACGGTCCTGGCAAGTTTCCAGGAAAAAAAAAAACAGTTGTAGCCAATGGGTACAAATATAGTACCAGTTCCTGGCAGACTGGGAAATGATAATTGCCTTTCCCCAATATCAGATAGCCTGGGAAGCACTTTCTAGCTTCCAAGAAGATTGTCAATAAACACATGCCAGGAAAGTTGATCTCTTGCTGCTATTTCATCCTTGCTTTTCATCTTTAGGCTTGTCGTGGGAGCCCCTAAAGCCAACTGGACTACGAACACTTCAGTGGTTAATCCAGGTGCAATTTTCAGATGCCAAATTGGGAAGAATCCAGAGAGAAATTGTGAACCACTCCAAGTGGGTGAGTGAGTGGAACTTGGGACTTGCTGGCCTTGCCTTCTTGCTAGCCAAACATGATTAATCCCTTAGACCAGGGGCCGGCAACCTATGGCCCCTGGGCCGGT